ACCTACTTGCTGACTGACCTGGGAGAGCCGCCTCGTTCTCCTCCAGTTCTGTACGTAGACAACAAGGCCATGCTGGCCTTGTGTCGGGAGCACAGACTGGAGCACAGAACGAAGCACATTGCTCTTCGCTACTTCCTTGCTCGTGAGCTGCAGCAGCGTGGCCAGCTGCGCCTTGCTTACGTGGCCTCTCAGGCCAACACTGCTGATATCTTTACCAAGGCACTTCAGCCTTGTGATTATCAGCGCTTCTGTACTATGCTAGGTCTTGTGCCTACTTGGCCTCACTTGCTTACCTCTTGACTTTGCTTGTTCTGTGATCTATATATACCTGCACTTGCTTGTTTACCTTTATATATGAACTTGCATGTGAACTGGCCTTGTGGCCTTTGAACATGTGCTCAGACTGTGTGGTGACGTTGTGATCCACCCTGAGCTTGCTTTGCTTTGCTTTGCTTGACTGGTCTTATGACCCCTAGTTCTCCCCCACTTTGCCTATGGGGGTGTGTCAGATGTATATGCCTTAGCCTATGTAGGTTGTAGTGGGGTAGACACTAAGGGGCACTGCTTTCATATTTGTATCACACACTTTCCTAGTTCATTCATTCCTGTTTCTTTCTTCACACGCGGCTCTTCAACAACTGGCTGCCAGGTAATTATCCACACGTGGATTTTGTCTCGTATGAGCATGTTCTGTTTTGTTTTGTTCCGGCTGTTTCTACTCACAAAATGTTGTCCCACCATCACACGTGGCAGGCTTCAACCACCGAGCGGCAGAGCTCGAGCTGGCCAGCTTCTGCCACGTCATGTCTCGCCACTACCAGGACGATGACTTATACCAGTGACTTAACAAAATGCGGAGGACCAAGGATTGGCCGCGCAGTTTTCCCAACCTGACGTCCATGTGGCAGGCGCTGGCAGTGATTCCGCTAAGTACCGTGGAGTGTGAGCGCGGATTCAGCCGCCAAAACGTGATCAAAAGCTGGTTGCTGACGTCGCTTGGCGACGCCCGGCTATCCGAACTGATGACCCTGAACATGTTGAGCTATGAGTACAAGTGGCCCGAGGTGGTGGATATCTGGCGGAAGCAAAAAAAGAGAAGACCCGCAATAACACCTGCCCCACACAAGTCGTGCTCCGGAAAAGGAAAGGAAAGAGAGGAGTCGTAGCGAGGATGAGCGTACATACATGTGACTGAATGGCTATATAAATAAAATATTGGTTACCGATTTCTAAAATGATTAGTAATATGTATTTGCGATAAGGGTACGCAAAAATACTACACTGATGCTCTGGGGTAAAAATTTTGAAACTCTATGTTACACTGATGTATCAGTGTAACAAAAATTTACACACTGATCAAAAGGGTTTTGAAATAGGCTACACTGCTAATCGTGAGTAGCCAAAAACCATTAGGCCCTGCCCTGAGGGCTCAGTGTGCCCTAGATCCTAGCACAGGCCCTGCTTTGATCCGGGGTGATACGGTATTCGTTGGCCCTTGCTTTTTTGTTTTGTTTTAGTTGATGCATTTCCCTGTGCCACTAACTGGTAGTACCGTATGGCCCCGGATAGTAGCGCATATGCGCTTATAATAAAATCATTTTTTTTAGGGGTGGCGCTAGTAATTGAGGAACGGCCATAAGCGCCGGCGCTTTTATAACGGCAAAAATGATTTTCGAATTCAAATGAACCAAATTGAAGCTCTCAATAAGGCGAATACAATGATGTGACGTGCGCATGGGATCGTGCATGGAATCACGGCGAAACTTGCCGCGATTCGAATTCCCACCACACAAAACCTGTCTAGGAGCAACGCACCTGCCAGAGCTGACGCGTAACCTGTCGTGCGGCCCAATGAGGTCGTCATGCGCTGCCAGGCAGGAGCATCTCGACCGAACCCTCTAGAAAGGGGGTAGAAGATGCCCTGCCAGCGCAGCATGGATGGTTCCATGAACCCTCCTCTGCGGGTTCAGGCAGAGGGGCAACCCTCGTTCATTGACGAGGACCCCGAGGCGCCATGCCGAAGGGGTCCCCTTCATTCTTTCATTTCTTGCATCTTTCATCCAGTTTTTCATTCAGTTTCTCGTTCTTTTCCGCCAGGCTGCGGAAGCCATGGCGGAATTCACCGGCACCCATTTCTTGTTTAAGAAGAAACCTTCTGCTAGGCCCGCATTTAGAGTTGACGCTGACGGGTGGTATTCCCGTATCCCACCAGAGCCACCACAACCTCCTGCGCCTCCTGCGCCGCCTGCTCCTCCTGCGCCTCCTGCGCCTCCTGCTCCTCCTGCTCCTCCCGTTCCTCCGTCTCCTGCATATCCCGTGCATCCTGTGTTCACGGGCAATCAGCCCGTGCTCACGCTCCTTCTCCCTTCGGCGTTCGATGAGTACCTCTCTGAACCGGACTGCGACAAGCGCCAAGATGAGTATGTAGCAGCTCCGGCCCCAACACCACGATGGGGACAGCCCGATGACTGCAACTGGGATGAATCTGCTGTCGGCGCAGACGACGAGGTGGCTGACGCCGAAGAGGAGTGGCACGCTGAGCGCAACACCGGCGGCGAGGGTGGCACGGAGGGTGGCACCGAGGCCGGCACCGCTGAGGATGTGTTTCCCGAGGGTGCTCCGGGCGGCGACGATGACGACGGCGTCGAGTATTGGTCACGCGACGGGCTTCCAGAGAAGCTCCCGATACCCTCTTTTCCTCCGCTTAATCGCAAGCGACCACACCCTGCTTCACAGAACCGTGATGCCTGCCCCCCCTCTCCCAGGCACAAGATGAACGAGCACAAGCGACAGGCCTACACCGCCGCCGAGAAGTTGAAGTGGGTCGCGCTGCTTGATGTTGCAGTCTCGGTGCGCTCGTTGGCTCGCGAGAGCGGCATCCATCGCAAATGTCTCTCTAACTGGAAGCGCTCTGCGGACTTCCTCAAAGAGGTACACTCTGCCCGTAAGCGCATGCATGGTCGAGGGCGAGCGTCGTGGTACCGGCCGATGGAGCTGAAGGTCTACGAGAGGCTGCCTGCAGGAATGGTCTCGTGAATTCATGAAGGAACTCTTCCCAACCGAGAAGTGGAAGGGGAGCCAACGGTGGTCTGAGCGCTTTCGGCGCCGATGGAATCTCAGCGTGCGCATGAAGACGCGGGTGGCACAGAAAACCGCGGCCCGTAAGATGTCGTGTATTTTTAAGTTTTTTTGTACTGCGCCGTTTATTGTTACTAACACGTTCATGTTGTGTCGCCCCATGGTCTGCCTTGTCACAGATGTCGCGGAGCAGTGCAGGAACTTCTGGCGCTTTGTTCGTGAAAAGCGCCGTGAGCGCGGCATCGACACCGCGTGGATCATCAACGCGGACCAGACGCCGCTCTGGCTGGAGATGCCCGCGACCACCACCGTGGACCAAACCGGCGTTCGGTCGGTGCCGATCAGAAGTGCGGGGTACCAGAAGGAGAGAGTTACCGTGATGCTCGCGTGCACGGCGGACGGGGTGAAGCTCAAGCCCTGGGTGTTTTTCAAGCGGAAGACCGTGCCGAAGGGCGATTTCCCGGCGGGTAAGTCATGGTTTATATTACTGTGTCGTGTTCTGTATCTTCTCTTTAATCGACTGACATCTTGTTCTTCTACGCTTGTGCAGATGTGGTCGTGGCGTGCCACGAGAACGGGTGGATGGACGCGGAGGGCGTCATCCGATGGCTTGAGGAGTGTGTCAAGCCTTTCTTGAAGCCCCGGTTCGGCAGGTGTGCGAAGAGCTCCATGCTGGTGCTGGACAGCTACCGTGGTCACCTCACCGAGGGGGTGAAGGAGAAGTTCCGCGAGCTCAACTGCGTGCCGGCGGTCATCCCGTCTGGGTGCACGGCGGAGGTGCAGCCCCTCGATGTCTCTATCAACAAAAGCTTCAAAGCTTCAATCCGCCAGCAGTATCAAAAGTGGTTTCAAGAAGAGGGGCAGGAGCAGCTGACAGCAGCAGGTACGTTGTAAGCTACGGTAGATGCATATGCTTGTTTATCCACTCCTCCTCCCCTTTGCAACGCTAACTCTGTCCGTGGTGTTATTGTCCGTGCAGGGAATCTCAAGAAGCCCCCCCCAGCAGTGGTCCTGCGATGGGTCTCTCGGGCATGGAAGGCCGTGCCCGCCGACCTCATCAAGCGCGCCTTCCTCACTTATGGCATTAGCAACGCGCTTGACGGCAGCGAGGACGGCCTCGCGATGGCACACAGGCGGACCCAACTGACCGCGGAAGTGGATGTCGACGACGACATCATCGCTGATGGCTTCTTTGGCAACAACTGCCAGGAGCCTGAGTCTGACGAGGAGGAGTAGGAACGGTAGTTGGTTCATTGGTGGGAAGGCTTGTATAAAGGTCTGTTCATTGAGTTAGAAGTATCGAAGATGGATGTAATTGTTGGTGCTAGACTTATAATGAAAATTTTTGTGATGTTAGTAGTTAGTTTCTTAAATTGAAAAAAAGAAATGTATTAAAGTAGGCGCTTATAATAAGTACGGGTACAAAATGGTATGCGCTTATAATCGAGGAACGGCCATAAGCGCCATGCTCCAGATAGAGGCGCCGGCGCCTTTAATCGGACGGCGCCTATATCCGGGGCCATACTGTATCAGGCCCTACTAACAACTCCTTTTGTAATCTCTGTCCAGAGAAGAGCAGGTCACGCTACACACCGTTGTGAAATCTGCCTCCCAAATTAAATGCAAATGACATGGACAAGACCGGCTCAACAAAGGCACAGGGCACTGCATCGGGCAATTGTTACAGCAGAGCTAGCCCCACACAGTGCTCTCTTGAGGCGACGCTCGTCAAACGAGCTCCTCCTCCCTCACGCCCCCCTTGAGCCCCTTCACCTCCGTCACCTTCTCCTCTATCTCCCTCCTCAACTCCTCCCTCCACAGCTCCTCCCTGCCCCCCTCCTCCTCCTCTTCCGCCTGACCGGGGGGACAGACAGCGGGGAAGGGAGGGCAGCAGGTGGGGGGAGAGCAGCAGTGCGGGGAGGTCAAAGGGAGAAAGGGCAGCAGATGAGGGTAGGGCAACAGGGGAGAGGAGGGAAAGGGGGAAGGGCAGCACGGGAGGGGAGGGCAGCAGGAGGAGGGCGGGCAGCAGGGAGGGAAGGGGTGTGTGATAGAACAGTCTCGCAATCAAGAAAAGGGTTGGTGAAAGCGAGAGTACTGGGGTTGGGGTGTTGTGGTGGGGGTGAGGTGAGGGGGATGGGACCGGGGCCGGGGAACAAAATTTCTAGAGAGGATAATGGCATGCCAGAAACCATCAAGGTGCCTCAAAAACTCAATCATGCTTCCACAATACTGCCGGCATTGGTGCCTCGCAAGTGAGAAGAAACACGCTATCATCCCCTCCCCCCAGCCCCCCCTCCCTCCCTTCCCCCCGCGGGTGTGTCTACATCCACAGTGTGTGAGCAGCTGTAGCCGGCCCGGCCCGGCGACTCACCCGTTGGTAGATCCAGAACTGGGTGCCGTTGCCGCCCGCATTGCGGTACTCGTCACTCTCGTAGTACTCGTCCTGTGGGGCACGCACAAGGGAGGGAGGGGGGGGTTGGGGTTGGGGGCCACGCGTGGTGGAGGGGATGGGGCACGCACACACCGTCAGAAGGGAACTGGGTGCCGTTGCCACCCACATTGCGGTACTCGTCGCTCTCGTAATACTAGACCTGTGGGGCACGTGTGGGAAAGGGGTAGGGGCATGTGCAGGGGGGGTGGGGGCATGCACAGGGGGGATGGGAGATGGTGAAATGAGGGAATGACGGGTGTTACACGCAGTTTCTGCTGCTGCTGCTGCCTCTGCTGCTGCTGCTGCCTCTGCTGCAATTGCTGCTGTTACTGCTGCTGCTACTCGCCCTGCCGTGCGCACATGGGAGGCGGAGAATGCGCAGTGCACATGGTGCGTGGGTGGGGACGAGGAGTCTAGCGCAGGGTGAGCGAGCGAGCAAAGGAGTGGCGACCATGAGAGACGGCAGTGCAATGCGGTGCCACGCGGTACCAGGTAGATGGCAACGGGGAGAGTGGAGGAAACGGAAGGTGCGAGGGACGGGGATGAGAAGTGAACGGCGGACTGAGAATGGGAGAAGAGAGAGAAAAGATAATGGGAAAGAGGAGGGGGGGGAGGGATGAGCGGGGAAAGGAATGGAGAGAAAGGAAGAGGGGAAGGGAGCGAGTGAGAACAGCACGCATGAAAAGAAAACTGGAGGACGGGGTGGGAGACGTGGAGGGGAGGCGGGAAGAAAGGGAGCGATGACGGGGGAGGGACGTTGGGGCGAGAAAGCGAATGGGAGAATGGAGGGGGAGGGCAATATGGGAGGAGCGCGCACGCACGTGACTTTTGAGTCGACTCGAAAAAAGCGAATGGGAGAATGGAGGGTGAGGGCAATGTGGGAGGAGCGCGCACGCACGTTCATGGAGCCGAAGACGAGCGCGCCCCAGCAGAAGACGCACGTGAAGATCATGTCTGCACGATGACGAGGGATGACACAAGGGGGGGGGAGGAGGGGATGACACAGGCGAGGGATGGCACGGGGGTTGGGGTGATGGCACAGGGTGGGGAAGGGTGGGGGAGGGTGGGGGAGGGTAGGGGAGGGGGGGGGGGGGAAGAAAACAAAGACAAGTATCAGACGCTGCATCGATGAACGGTGGATGAGATTATCGACCGCTTTACGAAGAAAGAAAAAAAAAACACATATGTGTGGATGAAAAGTTCACAACAGGACAGAAGGCCTACGGAAGGCTGCAAAGAGGGCTTACAGAAGGCCTTGAAGGCGGGCTCGGTGATGTGGAAGTCGGAGAGCGCCGTGAAGGTGTCCATGGCGTTGGGCAGCTCCGCCTCCACGAACGCCAGCACCAGCGGGAGCGCCGCCACCGGCGCGGAGAGCAGGCGGAACGGCGCGGAGGCGGGGCGACGCGCGGGAGCGGCATCGGTGGACTTGGGGGAACGAGCCTGCGGGGGGACGACGGAGAGAAGAAAAAGGGAGAGGAAACGGGGGAGAGGGAGACGAGAAAGAGTGGTGGCGACAGGCGGACACGCAGGAGGGAAAATGAGAAGCCTTTTAATGCACTGCCGCTAAGGGTGGTTGCCTGATCTGAAGCTGGGATAGCGTGCCCTGATTTGACGGAATCCGGACAGAATGGTACTTGGCCTATTTCCGACATTGTCGTCAGGAACAAATCATGGTGAGCTCAAGGCCAGCGTTCATGGGAAGAAGCACAGCGGAACTGAGATCAAAACTAGGATAGAAGGTGGACGGCAAGACGAAGATTGTAGCACTTATAAAACGGCTGCAGCGAAGGGGAAGATTGTGGCAGTAATGGATGAGAAAGCCGCAAGGAAGGGCGAACTGGCGACAACTGTGCATTGTGGCTCGGCTTGACGTCACCAACTACCGCTATTGTCTACCAAAAGTCGATCTAGCGAAGCCTGAGATGAGCTTAACGAGCAGCATACAGCAATGGAGGTCACCAAGGAGGCTCCGTGACGATTAGTACAATAACGGATATCGCGTTAGCCCCGCATTGATCTCTTACATATCCAAAACGTCACATCACGAATCCTGGATCACTTTGCGTTCTAATCACGCGACCCACTCGGCGAATAAGGACCTACCGCGCAGACGGCAACCAGGCGTTGGCTTCTGACTGGCCAGACGACGACGCTACGCTGGCCACTGGAAGCAGCGGGAAGATTCAATGTGACTCTTGATGGCAAGGACGCGACAGCCTGGATACACGCCATTCTGAATAATATAGATGGCGTTTTAGCAGCTGCTCGACAGACGACAGGAGTCAAAACGTTGCAGAGCTACTGATAAGGGATTATGGCTGGAGAAGCGAGGAACATATTTGACTGGGGAGGAGGGAGCAGCAGGGGAGGGTCAACGAGAACGAGTTCACGGTGACGTGCATGTGTGGCCTGGATGAGTGCTGTCGCTGACGTGGCCGAACTTGATGTTTTGAAGCAACAGCCCCCAATTGCGGACGCATCGTTTTGATGCAATCGGTACAGATTGAGTGAGCGTACAAATGAATGCAATTTAGACGTGTTGTATATAACATGGAATTCGATCAACTCTAAGCATAGATCCTCATTAGTAGCAAAACCTATAGAAATGCTGTTAAAACCGTGTTGTCTAATTCTAGAGAGTTGATGCTGATGAATGGTGACTAGCCTTAGGCACACTCTTAACGGATGGACAAGAAGAAACATGAAAGTTACTACGCTCTCATAAGCTAGCAGAATGTGGGCCCCCTCAAATGTGCAGCATGCAAATCTGTCACCTGTCAACATTCAAGAAGATGTCAACCGACTCCATCTGCAAATTATCCTGTTGCTGGTCCTGGAAAATGTTATCTTGCTGGGAAAGCTGAAACGCTGGGATCTCTTGCAGTTGATTCTGATGCTGCTGCGGGTACTGCTGCTGCACTTGAGGTTGAGAATTTTGCAGCTGATGGTGCTGTGGTGGTATCGGCTGCTGGGGCTGCAATGTTTGCTGAACTAATGGTGGCTGCGATGACTGCTGCTGCTGCTGCGGGTTTTGCTGGTAGTGCTGATAGTGTTGGTTAGGGGTCTGCAGCTGCTGCTGAGTTTTTTGCTGAAGCGCTTGAGGCTGTTGTTGGTATTGGTTGTATTGACCTTGCTGTTGGTACTGAATCTGTTGAAACTCCTGCTGATACTGATTCTGCTGCTGTTGCTGCTGCAGCTGGTTCTGCTGCTGGGGCAGTTGTTGTGACTGCTGCTGCTGTTGCTGTTGCTGTTGCTGTTGATGTTGATGCAGCTGTCCTTGATGCTGCTGGAACTGCTGCTGTTGCTGCTGCTGCTGCTGCAGCTGCTGTGGTTGATGTGGCTGAAACTGGCGTGCATTAGCAGCATGGACCTGTGGCTGCTGCTGATAAGTTTCATGAACCTGTCGCGAAAGGTCGACAGGGCTCTGGTACGAAGGGTTGATGGCATGGACCACCTTACCAGGAGCCTCAGATATTGAATGGCTTCGCATCATCCCTCCAGCCCGGGAATATCGAGGCTCAGGGACAGAGCTGCATCTCGTGAGAAAGGCAGGACGACTGGTAGAGATACCCAGCACAGGAGTTGAAGCAAGATGACTTGAAGAGTTCGTAACCACAGGAGCTGGAGCGTAGCTCAGATGATGGCCCACGTGTGACTTGTCAGAATAAGATGAACCAATCTGTAATGACGCCGACCTCTGGTGGGATGATACACATGAAACGAAATTCAAGAATTGCATTAGCTGAGATGTTGCAACACGTGCCAGGAAATTTGTGGGAGTCTTAGTTTGGATTGCAATTTACCTGCAACATGTTTGGCAGACGAAGAAGTGGGACTCTTGAACTGCTTCCAGGGGTATCATCATCTCCATCCCTCTCCCATATAGCAGCTCTTGGGGTATGCTGAATCTGGTAATGTCCAGGCTGGAGTTGTCCTCCTGCTGTCCCATGGTTACCAGACTGCGTAGGACCGCTGTTTAAACCCACGATGCTCGAGCTGACACCAAGGGATTTGGATGTTGAAGGGGCTCCGGGCGTGGTATTCTCAACTTGCAGCGACTGCCCAGGCTGGAAGGGGGAGGTGAACCGAGGACCAAGGTTGCCACTCAGCTGATATTGCTGAACACGACTGGAAGTACTGTAGTTTATGCTTTGATTCAAGCCTCCAGAATGAGGCACAGCTTGCTGGTCTTGAGGTGGATGTTGCATCCTGTGCTGCTCTTGCTGCGCTTGTGACTGGAAAGTTGTCGGATTCGTCTGCCATGTTGATGTTGCAGTGGCTCGCCTGCGCAAAACGGAGCGATGAATATGTAAGACACTGGACGAGGGGGACATCATGAAGCTTACGAAGGGTAAGTGAATGTCTTACGAGTTGAGTCCTGAGGATGGCTCCACTTGTGCTGCGCCCATTGGATGAACTGGGGGAGGTAGCGTGAGAGGCGGTAGAGCTGATCGTTCTCCCATTTGAGCACTTAATTCGCATCTTGAGTCGTTCTTGTGCTCCGAGGCAGAAACGACTGCATGCTCATCGATATGCCTCGTCTGCGTGATACCACTCTCAGCGATGCTGCTTGTCGCAGCGTTGATTCCGCCTGCTACTTCTGACGCAGGTCCATCGGACGACGCAGCAGCAATGGATGCGTTTGAGCCTGCAGTGCAGTTTTCATTCGTCTTCCGCGACCTATTTCTCCCTCTATGCATGTGACGGTCACAATACTTCTGATCTTTGACAGCCTGCAGAGACGATCAAGCAGATTAAGTGAGTCAGGCATGCATTTTAATACTGACGGCGCGGTTATGGAGGTGAGGTAAGGAATCCATTATGTACCTCTCGAGAACACCGCCACTTCTTCCCATCAGTACGACGGCACCTGTCAGGCTCCAAGTCAAGCCTCATCGGGTGCATCCACTCACCTGTTAAAAGACACGTCATGCGCATGAGGTTTCTGTAGTAGACAACGTAACTCTGAAGTCAATTGACTGAGTTTTAGTAATTACCTTGCTCGCTTTCCCGAGGACCTTTGGAGGTATCAGCGGATGCGTAAAGTGACGCAACAAGATCTTGTGGAGGAGAAACACCAGATACGATATATTTAAACATCAAAGCTTGCTTCTCCAGTTGTTGCCACTGGCTTATTGTGAAAGGGCCTGCGTTAGGATCTGCATGATCCATCAGACAGCAGAAGGTCAGACCTTGAAAGACGGAAAGCGCATGTAGCCACGACCACGCCTTTAAATCGAAACCTGGCGGAAAGATGATGAGAGATCTACCTGCAGACACGGCTGAGTCTGGCGAGCCAGCTTGACCATCAGGGCTAATGTTTGTCAGCGGCGGGATAGAAGAGAAGACAGGGGTTGTGAGAGGTGGAGGAGAAACCGGAGCTCCCATTATGTGTGGAGAGCGGACTTCAGCGATAGGTGAGAGCGCGGGAAGCTTTCGTACAGGCGAGCACCGAAACGAGCTGGAGGAGCCTGGCGTCCTGGGTGTTGAAGAAGGAGAATAGTCTGCAGACAATGGAGAATCGTTGAGCTTCGGGGTTGCCAGTGACTGGTGATGGTCAGAGGTTAGAGCGTATTGCGGCTGACATGCGATCAGTTGCGGGGAGTTTTGCAGTTTGCCATCGATCATTGGCTTCAGCTCCCTCGGATTGCTTTCAGCGTTGCAGACAAGTGCAGAGCTGTGGATGTTCTCTCCAGAGGCTGCAGGGACTTCACTGGAGACTAGCACAGGCAAAGCTTGAGATTGAGGGGGTGATTGACTACACGAAATCTTCACAGCTTGGTGCTCAAACTTCTGGTCCATCTGCTGAACAGGCGCCATTGCAGTTCCAGTTACAGGTGACGGTGGCTGAACGAGTAGACTCATTGAGCTCCAGCCCTAGTCTCAACCAGACACCGCTCAGAAAACTAGATTTCTGGCGCCTAACCTTGAGGTATAAGGCAGAGATTCTCACTTCGTACTGAAATAAAGTCCTGAATCTCAGAACAGGGATTTCAACAAACAAGCATGTGAAATATCGCCAGCTGAATCCTTCCACATGTTCACTGCCCTCCCTCAATGTTAGCAGATATGCTCTTGTGTGTTCACCATTTTATCTGACTGGCTGCTGTGCTGGAGTCGTGCTAGTGTGTGAACATATGGCCCAGATTGTGTTTCGCCGGTTTGGTTCCGAACCAAGCAGCTTCTTCTCCTGCACATCCAGAGCCCCATGTGACATGACACACGATAATCATGGGCCATGGCCCCTTCGAACCAAATCCCCATCATTTGTGCCCCCCAAGCCTATCTGTGTAACCAGCAAGTCGCATGATTTGGTATGGGTTCATGTTTCAGAAGCCAATCATGCTTCGTTGTCTAAAAGCCGCCAGACCGATTGGACAAATTGTTGAAGAGCACATCTGGAAGTTGTCAGACCCAAGCATCTCCAAGCCTTTCGTCTGAGCTTGACGAACCACTGAGATCAGCTCTGAGATGCGCGTGCCTCATTTTCAGGCTTGATGATCGCTTGAAATGTGGTTGGTGGTTCTTGAAAGGGATTGAGGTTCAGTCTCTCCCCGCACTGTTGGAGCTGTTCATATCCTAAAAGGCGAAAAGAGAGTGGCTGGACGCCTGGAGCTCAGTTACGCGTCTACCAATCAACGAGTCGTCGAGTTCCTCAGCCAGGAATGCTGCCGACTTCTGTGGCGGGTCCACCCTCCCGCCTCAACTTGACGGGAAAAGTGAACGTCCTCTCCGTCCCCAATCCCAAGGTGCCTTCTCTGACAAGCGAAAATCTGCCACGAATTGGAGCAAAGCGCACTGTTGAGGTGGTCCACGATTTGTCGTACATGTAATTTGAAAAGATTGGAGCATGGTGCAAGTGTCAGGCGAATGGGATTCACGTGGTTGAAGGGTGTGGCAGGAGACTGGTCGAGACAGCTGACCGATGTCGGTAAGCTCTGACTTGTCACCCAATCTTTGGTCAGTGCATTTTGTGGTCAGAATTCAATTCAACAAAATCATGACAGCGTGTACAAATTTAAAATTCTACACTAGTGTTCCCTAAATAAGAGTGGTCTGAACTTCATCGCAATTACTGAAGATCCGGCAGCACCATTCAATCACAACGGGTACTCCCTCTGAAGAGCATCCACGTCATGGGCATCACAAGCTGGGAGTAGCTCCGACTTTCCAGCGCAGCTTAACGCGATTCTCAGGTACTGCCACGCATTCTCTGCCGTTGGATTCATCGCAATCGCACGCACATAATAGCGAGCCGACTCCTCATACTTGCCTTGGTTGGCATATCCAATGCCCATGTTCGTCCATGCACGAACATAATTCGGCTTCAGATCCAAAGCCTGAAACAGAAAATCCAAGGAAACAAAAAAAAACAAGGAATGAAATCAAGCAGATGCACGAATCTGCAACGTGTGTGCATCAGCATGCAAGAATTCAAACAGGACTGTCCGTTGCATGCATGCCTTCTGATACGCCTCGATCGCTTCAGCGGACTGGGCGCTGTTGGCCTGTGTGGCGCCCAGCTTGTTCCAGAGCGAGTAGTCGGACGGGCGCAGCGCAAGGGCCCGGCGGAAGGCTGACTTGGCGCGGTCGTACTCGTGGGAGAGGTTGAACAGCACTCCCAGCACCACCTGGCACGCGGGACAGGGGGTGAGGGGAGTTGGGCAAAGGGGTGGATTTTCTTTCTCCCAAGGAACATGGCAAGAGCACACGCAGCCTTGGCATGACAAAGAAATGAAATCAGAAAGGCATGGAACGTCAATACTTGACTGAGCAAGGCATGGAAGGGCAGGGCATGGCATGGCATGGCAGGGCAAGGCCCTCCGGACCTGCAGGTCGGCATCCTCTGGCGCCATGCGAGCTGCCTCCGTGTACAGCTGCACCACCTGGCACACAGACATGCGCACATTCACACACAGATGCGCGCGCGCGCCCACACACACACACACACACACACACACACACACGCACACGCACACGCACACGCACACCCACACGCACACGCACATGCACACACACACACACACACGAACGCCCACGCGCACACACACACACGCACACACACGCGCACACACACACACACACACACACACGCACAAGCACACACACACACGAACGCACACACACACACACACCCACGAACGCACACACACACGAACGCACACACACACACACACACACACACCAACGCACACACGCACACACACACGAACGCACACACACACTCACACACCCGCCCACCCACCCACCCACACACACACACACACCCGCCCACCCACACACACACATGCAGACAGGCAGGGAGGACGGGCGGTAAGACGTGCAAAAGGGAGACGTGGGCGGAATGGTGTTTTGTCGGCTTGTATCGGGGATGTTGGCGAGGGACCCGAGTAAGGAGCTGGACGTGTGAGAATAACTTGCAGCGACGTTGAGGTGCACAGGAATGAAGCGCAGCGAGAGAGGAGAGCGGCGAGCAACAGAGTAGGGCGAGGCAGTGCGGGGAGGCGGATTGGGCAATGGATTGGAGTGGTGAGAGGGGTGGATGCACATCGGAGTGGGACATGGAGGCGGGGCCAGAGGGTGTCACGAGTGTCTTGTACTTGGAGTGGTGAGAGGAGTGCGAGGAGTGAGGGGGGTGAGAGGAGTGAGAGGAGTGAGAGGGGTGAGAGGAGTGAGAGGGGTGAGAGGAGTGAGAGGAGTGAGAGGAGTGAGAGGGCTGAGAGGGGTGGACGCACGTCGGAGTGGGACATGGAGGCCGGGCCGGAGGGCGGCACGAGTGTCTTGTACTTGGAGTGGTTCTGCAGCCAGCTGCGCAGGTGGTACAGCGCCTCCGCCTGCTCCAGCTCTGGAAACAGAGGGGGGCGTGGAAGTAGGGAGCAGCAGTAGGGGGTTGGAGGGAGAAAGAGAAGTATGGATGTGGTTTGGGTGGGTGGTTGGGTTGGGACATGAATAGCGTTCATGTGGTTTTTCAGGTGGTCCAGCGCCAGAGCGAGTTCCAGATCTGATGGCAGGGGGGAGGGGGGGGTGCAGCAGGGTGGGAGAAGGGGGTGGGTGGACAAGTGGTTTGGCAGAAAAGCAGCAACGCACACGGTGTGGAGCCGGCAATTATGGGGCAAGTAGGAATGGAGAGAGCAAGGAGGAGAATAGGTGGGTGGGACAAGTGGGGGGAGAATGCGAACGAGAACAGTGAGGGGAGCCTCTGTGGGCCATAAGCGAGCAGAAAAAGGTATGTGATGTGCATGAGACGAGGGGCACTGACCGTTGGTGTGGCTGACGCCCAGAGCGAGCAGCACATCCAGGTTGGTGGGGTCCGCGTCTCGAGCACGTGTCATGGCTGCTATGGCCTGGGAGCCATGGTGGGGTGGGGTTGGCATGGGAATGGCACGGGGGCATGGGGATGTCATAGGGGCATGGGGACGTCATAGGGGCATGGGGATGTCATAGGGATAAGCATTGGGTTGTCATGGGGATAAGCATTGGGTTGTCATGGGGATAAGTTATGTCCCTGCCTCCACCTCATATCTCATTGACAGGTCCCACAGTGAGTGAGCAAACATGAAGAGCCCACATGCGAGCACATGAGCGGCCTACCTGGCAAAGCAAAAAAGCCCCACCTGTCGGTCGTCATCGTTCTCAGCATGGGAGACGCCCAGCAGGCGCCAGGCCTCGGAGTTGCCCTCGTTGCGCAGCACCTCCCTCACGTGAGCATGAGCAGCCCACCTGTGTGTCATCAGGCGGCCCACCTGTCTGTCGTCGTCGTTCTCAGCATGGGAGACGCCCAGCAGGCGCCAGGCCTCGGAGTTGCTCTCGTTGCGCAGCACCTCCGCCTCCAGCGCCAGTATCGCCTCGCTCAACAGACCTCTGGGGATGGGGGAGTGGGGGGAAGGGGGGGGTTGCATAGGGCACATGACACGCACACAGGAATGCAGAGCAGAGGGAGCAGACATGAATGGGAGTTGCCCTCGCTGCGCAGCACCTCGGCCTCCAGCGCCAGAATCGCCTCACTCAGTAGCCCCCTGGGGATGGGGGGGTGGGGGGAGCATAGGGCACATGACATGCACACAGGAATGTAGAGCAGAGGGAGCAGACTTGAATGGGAGTTGCCCTCGCTGCGCAGCACCTCGGCTTCCAACGCCAGTATCGCCTCGCTCAGTAGCCCTCTGGGGGAGGGGTGGCGCGTGGCATCGGTCACATGCACATGAATGCCACACAGACAGATGCATGCACGGCACGGGCACACCGGAATGTAGGGCAGAGGGAGCAGACTTGAATGGGCATGCCAATACATTATGCACGGGCAAGTCGTCGACCCGGTAGCATCACCAACAGATATACCCCTGCTGGAAGGGCCGAGGGTGGCCCACATAAGGGTCTTTGCTTTGACACGTCTCAAAACAGTTACGAGGTTCTCAAGTTAAAGCTTCGATTTGACTGCCCCAACTCACCGGCAGAAGAGGTCTTGCCCCTGCTGGAAGGGCTGGGGGTGACCCACGTAGGGGTTCTCGCCTTGACGCGCCCCACAACAGGCGCCCCTGAATGAATGTGCCGCACCCTTCACTCACCGGCGGAAGAGGTCCTGCCCCTGCTGGAAGGGCTGGGGGTGGCCCACATAGGGGTTCTTGTCGGCAAAGGCGTAGGGCCAGCGGGATGAGGATGACTCCGCCCTCCTCTGCTGCTCATCGCGCAACTGCTCCTCCACGTAGCTGGTGGGGGGAGGAGAGGGGGGGGGGAGGTGTGGTGGAGGAGCGAAAGAGGGGGGGGGGGAAGAGGGAGAAAGAGTGGAGGGGAGCGGAGAAATGAACGGAAGGGAATGGCGAGAATGGTGAAATGAGGCGCGCTGTTCATGTGTGCCGTGCCGTGCATGCGTCCTAAGACGCGCAGTGGGGCCATCGTATAGTATAAAGGAAAGAAGTGTGGCATACCGCTCGTACGACTCAAGCCATGCGCTGGGGTCGCCATCCTCCACCACACCCTCGCCCTCCGCATGTGTGTGTGCCCATGCGGGTGTGCATGTGGGTGTGCATGTGGGTGTGCATGTGGGTGTGCATGTGGGTGTGCATGTGGGTGTGCATTGGGGTGTGCGTGTGCCATGGTGATGAGGCGACATGGGGATGAGAGCAGGCATACCGCTCGTACGACTCGAGCCACGCGCTGGGGTCGCCATCCTCCCACCATACCCTCGCCCTCCGCGTGTGTGTGCCCGTGTGGGTGTGTGAGTGCCATGGTAATGAGGCGCTAAGGTTATGAGGAGCTATGGTGCTGGGGCCATTGCATCACATCAATGCATACCGCTCGTACGACTCAAGCCATGCGCTGGGGTCACCGTCCTCCACCACGCCCTCGCCCTCCGCGTGCGTGTGCCCGTGCGGGTGTGCATGCGCCATCTGCTGCGCAAACTCGTCCGTCCAGTCCCTCGAATCCAGCGATGTTGATGACTCGTTCTGGATTGGCACATGCGGGTGGGTGGGTGCAGAATGGGAGGTGTGGAGTTGTTTCGATGACTTGTGTTGTGAGTGCACGTGCTTGTGCTGGTGAAAGTTCTCAAACTCGCTCACCCATTGCTTGGGCACTCTATCCAGGACGCTGCAACCACCACCCCGCGCACCACCACGCCCCTCCCCATTCACGGCGGCTTACCCGGGCAGCGAACTCAGTGGCCCAGTCAGCATCCGCCTTAATGGCATGTGAGTGCACGTGCTCGTGAAGGTAAAGCCTCTCATACCTGCTCGCCCACTGCTTGCGTACTCTACCCAGCACCGCCCAGTCCTTGCCCCGCCACGCCCTCGCCACTCGCAGCTTACCCGGGCAGCGAACTCAGTGGCCCAGTCAGCATCCGCCTTAATGGCATGGGAGTGAACGTGCTCGTGCTGGTGCAGGTTCTCAAACTCGCTCGCCCACTGCTCTGTCGCTGCAGCTGCTGCTGCCTCTGCAGGCGACACCTCCCTCACTCCGCCCTCCTCCGCTATCAGCTCCCCGCGACTCATCTTGGACACAAACTGCAGGAACTTGGATTGCTGGAGGGGAGGGTGGGGTGGGTGGGGAGGGGGGCGGCGTGAGAGCGGGAAGAAGGGAGACCCAACTCCCTATGCTATCAGCTATCAGCTCGCCTCGACTCATCTTGGACACAAACTGCAGGAACTTGGATTGCTGGAGAAGGGAGCGGGTGCGGCGGAAAAGGGGGTTGGGGGAGATGGGAGACCCAAACTCCCTATGCTATCAGCTATCAACTATCAGCCCCCCACGACTCGTGTTCAACACAAACTGTAAGAACTTGTATTGCTGAGGGGGAATAGGAAGCGGCGGGGGGTGGGAGGGGGTTGAGGAAATTGAAATTGGGGACAGTGGTCAATCCCACCTGGTACTTGAAATTGGGATTGACCACCGTTCCCTCTCTCTTTCCACCAGTTCCGCCAAGTTCCGCGAAGTTACCTGGAACTTGGGGTTGGGGTCCTGGGCGAGTGTGTCAACAATGCGCTGTGTCTGCTGCCTCGCTGCCACCCTCTCTGCTTCACTTCGCGGTCCCCCCGCCCTCGCCTCCTCTCGCACGCGCTGCTGCTGCTGCCAGTCCTGGCAGAGGGGGAGGGACAGAGAGAGGCGGAGAGGGGTAGAGAGAGACAGGGCGTAGGGAGATGAGTGTGGGGAGATGGGCATAAGGGAATGCTCGTAGGGAGTTGGAGGTTGAGAGATTAGCGTAAGAGGATAGGGGTCGGAGAGAGTGGGGGTAGTGGGATGGGGGTAGGGGGACGGGAATAGGGACATGGGATGGGGTTGGGACAGCAACGGAAAGAGGAGGATGGCAAGAAGAAGGACGGGAGGTGCAAGTGTGGGGAGAGGAAGAGCTGCACATGAGAGTACCACCACACACCCACACCCCACTGCGCACCCCCACACATCCACACACAGCCACACAACCACACACAGCCACACACCCACACCCTGCCCTCCAAGCTTCTCTGTCCCCCGTCCCACCTCAGCAAACTCGTCCGCCCACCCTGTGCTGCTGCTCTCCCCCCCGCCCTCCTGCCACCTCTGCTGCTGCTGCGCTTCAAACTCCCCCACCCACCCCCCTGCGCCCCCCCCTCCGCCCACACCCGCCACCATCCCCCCACCACCCGCCACCTCCCCAGCATCCTTCCAAAAGTCCTCAAACTCGCGGAACCTGCCCCCCAGCGGGCCAGGCGCGCCCATGAGCGCGCCCTCCGCGCCCCCCGGCCCCCCTGCGCCCTCCCCCAGGTCCTCTATGCCCAGGGAGCGCAGCAACGCGGCCACCTGCGCGGAGGCAAAGCCCTCCCCCTGCGCGCCCGCCCCCCCCTGGTGGGCAAACACGTGGCGCGCCAGGATGGAGGAGCGGTTGCGGATGCGCGCTCGGTCCGCAGGGGGGAGGTGCGCGAGGGGGGGCAGGGGCGCGTGGGGGTGCGCGGGGAGGGGCACGCCCGCTTGTGTGGAGGAGAGGAAGGAGTGTAGCAGTGCGCGCACTGCCTGCTGCTGCTGGGGGGGCAACCCGGGGACTGGCGGAGGGGGATGGGGGATGGGGGATGGGGATGGGGGATGAGCGATGGCGGATGGGGGATGTGGAGAATGGGGGGACATGGGGGAATGAAGGAAATCAGGAACAGCTACGAGGGTGGGGAGGGTGGGAAGAGGAGGAGAGTGGAAGGCATCGCAAGGGGAGGAGGAAGGAGACCCCCACCATAGGTTTCACAACCAAACTGAAAGGCACGAGCGCAAGATGGCATGTACTACTAGACTTAGCACATCCAATCCCTCATAAAATTCCCCAAAGGTGACTCACTTGCAGGCGGCTGCATGGCAGCAGCGCCACCATCCAGCGACATCCCTCCAAAGATCTGCTCAAACTCCCGGAAATGACTCACTTGCAGGCGGCTGCATGGTAGCATCGCCACTGGCAGCAGCAGCAGCGCCACCATCCAGCGACATGCCGCCAAAGATCTGCTCAAACTCCCGGAAATGCGCCGCCGCTGCTGCGTCCGGCGGCGCCATGCCTGCTGCCATGCCTGGCGGCATGGCTTGGACGTGCCGAGCCTCGTTCCACAGGGCCTCTAGCTGAGCATCGGGTGGCACTGCTGCCGGACCTGCAGCATGGAAGGACGAGAGGAACTGGTGCGCCTGCCAGAGGGGGGGAGACGGGAGGGGGGAGGGAGGGAGAGAGAAAGGGAGGAAGGAAGGAGAGGTGGAGGAGGTAGGGGTAGAGGGGTTGACAAAAGAGGGATTGAGGAAGAGTGTTAACGAAGAGAAAACTGCACAGTAGCCACAAAGCGTGCATATTTGCGGCAGGCTTCCCACCATGCGAGCATTCCCTGGTACTCACGCAGCACGCCTAAAAATCAATCCACACGACTCCATCCTCACACGTTCAACCCACACGGCATTCTTGCACACTCACTTGCATTGACGGCCCCATGCCCCCCATGGCCCCCATCGGTACGCCCATTGCGCTCTGCATGTCGGCTCCTGGCAGCGGCATCATCGCCGGTCCCGCTCCTGCTTCCGCCGGACCAAACAGGTTGCTGCCCGAGGCTTGGCCCGGACCTGCCAGACTCGGCAGCTCGCGAACCCTCTCCTGCCAAGACGAGCACAGAGAAGAGACACGGAGCGTGACAAGAGGGCAGCGAGCAAGCGTTGACTATAGTGCGGGAGGGCAGGCAGCAAGCATAGAGCAAGGGGGGAGCACGAGCGGGAGGAACGAATCAGCGAGGCGAGCACGGAAACGCGAGGGAGGCTGGAGACACTCGTTGAAGCTCCGCCTAACGTCATGCGACTCCGTCAAATGCCAGGTGTAATGGGGGGCGGCATGGACGCGCGTCGCCATGCGACTCAGTCTTCACGGCATGCCGAGCAGAGCACGGACCACGCCATAACTGAGTTCTCGTGCTCGCCTAGCTCAACGTCAGGGCCAGTCGTGAGAGTCGCGCGTCGCGAGGCCGCTCGCGAAAACAGAGCGACGCTCTCCTGCGGCTTCGTCGCAGCTAGAGCTTCGCCTGACTCCCGCGAGGACGTAGCTTCGTTATAAGCCGACTCAAAACTGGTCAGAGCGTGCGCTCACCTGCTGCTTCGCGGCGGAGCCCAGGATGGAATCCGCAAGCGCACCGAGCGGGTTGCTGCTCGACGCCGATGGCCGCTCGCCCGGCACGGAGCATCCCCCGCCACCCGTCACCATGCCGCGGATCGACATGTCTGCCGCGCAGCACCGTCGGTTTCGTACGGTCGGTTTCGTACAGTGGAGCCCGTTCGACCACGTCGTATCGTACAGTCGGTCGGGTACGGTTGGTCTCGTGCGACGATGATTTCGCACGGCGGGTGAAACGTGAAACGACGATGATTACTAAACGTAGGAGGTTCAAGTCGTACGACGAATCGCACTCGCAGGGCAGGTTGGAGAGTATCACATTAGGGTTGCGGATAACGTCGGAACCAGCAGCTATTCGCAGTGGCGCACAAGCTTCTCGCAGCGAGTGTTATTCTAACCCGCTGAAGGTGGCGAACTGCACTAATCCGCAAGTGCGACTGAGCACCTTCGTTGAGCGGGAGAGTAGGCAGGCACGAAGAAGATTCACGAAGGAGATTCCATTCCCCCTCACTTCATTTCCCCTCACTTGTATTCCCCTTCACTCAATTTCCCCTCACTTCCATTACCCCTCACTCTCTTCCCCCTCACTAGTAGGTGGGCATGCCCGGCGTAACCAGGGGAACCTCGAATATTCTGAATACGATGTGCAATGCAGCAGTAATAGTAAAAAAATTGTCAGACTTCAACATTATTTAGTCGTCAATGAGCATGTACTTCTCAACAATATCTACTTCTCAACAAGGTTGCTTGTTTCTAAAATTTGCTAAATCTCTAATTTTGTTATATTTTATCATTTTGGAACACCACCACCCAGCCCTACTAGCCACACTAAATCAGTTCCCACTATTTGTTGCACTTGGCAAAGTTTTCATGACTTCAGTTTCCACCAACACCACCACCACTCAGGGAGGCTCGCCTCCCCTGCCTTGCTCTCCCCTCACTCAGGGAGGCTCACCCTCCTTCCAGTGCACCCCCAACAGTCCCCACCACTCCCCACCACCACTCTCCACCACACCTCCAGAGTGGGGCTGAGAGGAAACCCTGAGAACTGAACCCTCACCGACGTGGCAAGAGGGGAGCCACACCAGACCCCCGGCCGCAGGGTGTGGTGATCGTCCATTATGCCTTAAACGTGTGGCTATTGGAATCCAGACTCAAGGCCTCCCCCCAACCACCACTCTCCACCCACCACCACCAACCACCACCACCACCACCAGCAGCACTCTTCCCTCACCAACAACCACCAGCAGTCGCCAATAAGCCTGCTGGGGTGGGGAGGGGAGAGAGTAGAGAAGGCGATTAGTAAGTGACAACTGGAGAGTGATTCAAGGAGCAACAAGTGCAGCAGGGGAGAAAGCAGCAACGAGAGCAGCAATTGACAAGGCAAGTAAGAAGTGACGAGCTGAGAGTGAGGAAACGAGTGGCAAAAAGCAGAGGGATGAAGGAGCATGGCAGGAGGGGGGGAGCAGGTAGAGACACTTAGCTGCGGTGCGGTGCAGTGGGATGCAGATGGGTGGAGTTGAAGCGGAATGAACCACGCGAGTGGGTGCAGCAGCTCCAGTCCTCTCCGCGTGCTGCTTGCTGGGCGCTGGACGGTGCTCTCTCTGGGTGCCCTGGGGGGCGGGGGAGGGGATGGAGGTGGGGGTGGGAAGGGGATGAGGGCGGGAGTGAGTGAGTAGAAACGGTGGATGCGCATTCAGTGACGTCAGCTGCAAGCTGCAAGCGCGGCAGGCACTCAAGCTACGCACGACCAAGGCTGCTGTGTCGCACACAAGGGGAGGGCTAAAGGGGACCTGAACCTCACCTTACCATACCAAGGGAGGGGTTAAAGGGGACCTGCATCTCACCTTACCATACCACAAGGGGATGACTGGGGGGACCTGCACCTCACCTCACCATACCAAAGGGGGGGGGGCTTGGGTGCGCCACAGACTGACAGATGGACGAGCAATGCGCATGAAGCAGTGAAACAGGGAGCATGCAACATGACCAGCGGAAAGAAAGGTGAAGGCGGAGTTACTGGTAAAGAGATACTCATCTGCTACTTGGGTGCTGGATGGTGAAGCCCAGGAGGACCCTCTTCTGCTGCTCCCCTGCTGCTCCCTCTGCCCCACGTTGCTTTACACCAGCAGGGCACTGAGAGTAAGGGAAGGGAGGGCGAAAGGGAGGGGGAGTTGGGGGATTAGACCAAGGGCAAGTAAGAAGAGTCAGTCGGATCACAAGCAGTCCATTCCAGATGCGAATAAGGGAGGGGAAGCACAGCTGTTGTCGCACACCCAAGGGGAATGGGGTACCTTTACCTTACCATACCAGAGGTAAAAGTTTTGTACCTACCAAGGGGGTTACCTGAAGTCAGAACCTTACCCAAAAAAAAGAGGGAGGGACTTGGGTGTGCTACAGGCAGCTAGAATGATGAGACAGTGAAACAGGAAACAAGCAAAACGACAAGCGGCAAAACGCTTAAAGGCAAAACAGGGTGGGTGGTGAAACGATACTCATCCTTTTCTTGGTTGCTGGAGAGCCCAAGAGGACCCCCTGCAGCTGCTGCTCCTTCTGGTGCTGCTGCTTCCTCCGCTGCTTCCTCCGCTGCTGCCTCCGCGCCCCACGCCGCTTGACACCAGCAGGGTAATGAGAGTCAGGGAGGGGAGGGCGAAAGGGAGGGCGGGTTGGGAGATTAGAACCAAGAGCAAGAAACAGGGGTCAGTCGAATCCAAAGCAGTCGAATCCAGATGCAAAGGCGGGAGGGGAAGTACAGCTGCTATCGCACACCCAAGGGGAGTGGGGTACCTTTACCTTACCATACCAGGTGTAAAAGTTTTGCACCTACCGTACCGAGGGGGTTACCTGGTGGCTGAACCTTCAGAAAAAGAAGAGGGAGGGACTTGGGCGTGCTCCAGGCGGCTAGCGTGACGAGGCAGTGAAACAGGAAGCAAGCGAAACGACAAGCGGCAAAACGGTCAAAGGCGAAGGCAGGGTGAGTGGTGAAACGACACTTATCTCTTTCTTGGCAGCTGGATGGTGAAGCCCACGATGACCGTCTGCTGCTGCTCCCTCCGCTGATCGGTCCGCGCCCCACGCCGCTTGACGTCAGCAGGAAACTGAGAGTCAGGGAGTAAAGGGCGAAAGGGAAGGGGAGGACGGGGGGTTGGGGTGGGGGGGGGGGGGGGGGTGGAGGGTAGGGGGGGTTTGGGGGGGGTTGATTAGAACCAACAGCAAGTAAAGGGAGTCAGTCGAATCTCAAGAGTTTCTGATATGAGAATGGTGTTGCGCCAGCAACTCGGTAGCATTTCGGTAGCGTTCGTCTCCAAGGACTTAGTTAGAATGCAAGTAGCAATTGGACTTCACAAGAAATGTAATATGATCCATGAATACAAAAGCAAACACATATGCAAATATAGGCAAGCAAGAGTTGCACAAATGTTGCGTGGCGCTTCGGTGTAACCCAGCCCCACGAAAGTGGTGTGCGGGAGGGTGAACGCTCCCCGCCGAACTTCCATCCAACTCAGCAGCGAAATGCATTTCGTGCACGCCACTCTAGCCAACACTGCAAGGAGTGGCATGACTCTCAAAGAAGCACACCTAACTTCCAAGACTCACGCCACCCTGCACCGATTCTCATGCAGCTGCTAGCAGTCGCACCCGGTCAATAGTCGCCATCTTGCCGAGTCAAGGTCCTCGAGGTCCCTTGCTGTTGTAGGGCCCTCTAACAGGGGTTGGACGGAGTGATTGTGAGGTGGGAGGAAGTGGCGATGGCGGAGTGGGAGGGAGAGGTGACTGCGAGGAGTGAGGGAGAGGATATGGGGGATGGGAGGGAAAGCAATGGCTGGGTGGGAGGTACTGGCGATGACGGGGTGTAAGGAGGGATAGCTAGAGAAATTGGTTTGGGGAGGACAAGGAGTGAGAGCAAAGCAGGTACTTGTCGAGAGGAACCAAGATCAAGAACCAAGAAATGAAGAGCGTCTCAAGTTCGACAGCTGTGAAAGGGACACGTATATTTTGGGCTTGGTTGGGGTTGTCGTGGAGCTGGCGATAAATTTTCTGCCAGCGCATAATGAGGCACCAAAAGTTATTACATATACATAGAAATATGAGCACAAGGGTGAAAGGCAAGCTTAAACAGATCATGGGCACTTGGCAATACTAAGAAAAAAACACTAGACTTGGAAGCTAGTGTCACGTGAAAACATATGCGCCACGCCATCCAACTAGCTGACACATCAGATACGGAACAGTAGTTGCAAACATGAAACCCGCTAAAGTAACATGATAGAACAACAGAATATAATGTAGGTGAAAACATTCCATAATAAGGAACTATCGAGCTTGTCCGGATTGAAATAAACACACCGAACACAACTCTATGCAACCCTTCCGACGTAAACGTCGAATCTTGTTTTTTTTTTTCTTCTTCTTCTTTTTTGTGATGAAAGATACACTATAAGTGCACAATACATCGGCAGTCATGACTGTAGCTGATGGGCATAGGGGGCTTGCACCCTTCGTACCCATCCGGGCCTTCTAAGGGGGACGGAAAGCCGCCCTCGGATTCGACCAGATGGACATGAAACCCTGCGCCCACGTGGCCGGCTTTGCTGAGCTGTCAAAAATCTTGTTCAGGGTGTGGCACTCATCATCATCCAACCCAGGATGCGTGGTCCCAAACCTCCTTGCTGCTGCCTTGGCGCGCTTGTAAACTCCCACATGCAACTGAAAAGCCGCTGCGATCCTCCTCAGGGCTCGTCTCGCCCGATGTGCCTCGCTCAAAAACCGCATCGCACCTCTCCACCCATATGCGGTGGAGGGCAATTGCCATGATTGTAGCTTCGGGAAAAACCGAAACCGTCCCCTCCCACTGGAACAACAAATCCCCCAAGGACTCCACCTTCCGGCGCGGGTTAAGCATGCGCAACGCCTGCAGTAGCGCCTTCACGACCGGTTGGATGCGCGGGCAGCTGAAAAGCCCATGCTCCAGCTTTTCTTTCTCCCCACAGTGCGGACAGGCGACACCAGCCCCCAAGAAGCGTAGCCATTCTCCCACTTGCAGATTTTTACTGTGGACCCGCAGCATCACATCACGTGCCCGGTTAGGCAAGACCGACGAATCCCGCACCCCAATGATCCTCTGCCAGCCAACCGGGTGGCCCAACTCCTCCTCCCAGGAGGATTGCTGCTTCGGCTTTCCGCCATAGCGCTTGAAACCTTCCTTCAGCTGCTTCAGCTGCGCCCGACACTCCATCGCCCAAAATTGAGAGCACAGTAACCTCGTCGTAGGGGCCCCAGCAGGGCCAAGTAAACGTTCCCCCCTGACCACCGCGGGAACCACTTCGTGAGGCAGGAACGTGCACAGTCTCTCCCCAGCGTCCCCCAGGATTCCCCTGAAGCAGCTGACTGCTCGGCAGACTAGGGTTTCCTCTTCCACGCTCTCAATTCTCCATATGCCATGGCTGGTACCCGCCCTTAGCACGAATTTGGACACCGCAAGCACCGCGCGCGCCGTGACCAGCGCCAACAGAAACTGCTTCCAGTCATTAGGAGCTGCGTCGAAAATTCTCTTGGCCGGTTTGGCTCCATCCATCCCTCCAAATTCCTTTTCCATCGCCGCCTTGTCTTTCAGCTCCTTTACCCCGTTTCCGTCGATGGTGATGAAATCTTTCATGACCGCTCGCCTTAAGTGCCTCGCTGCCTTCTGCTTCCCTGCAGGCCGCTTCCCGTTCAACAGCAGGCATCAATTAAAGAGGAGAAGCTCCTATTCGACGTCCCAGCCCGAAGATACCGTGATGTTTGAGGGAAAGCTTGATTCCAGGAAAAGCTCACACGTGCGCCTCCACCTTGCGTTCCTGCCCCTCCATTCCTTCATCAGGCTCGCGTGCGCCCAGAAAACCTGAAGGTCAGGGACAGGCCCTACGATATCAGGAAATTTTCCCTGAAATTCCTGATTTTCAGGGATTTCTTTGTACCTACCCTGATTTTCCAGTGTTCAGCTTTTTGGGGGACTGATTTTTCAGCCTTTTGGGGTCAGATGACTCTGAATTTTCAGGTAATTTTTTAAAGGGACACTGATTACACTACGTTGTAACAAAACTGACACTGAATGCGATTCCTACTTGTTCCGAGTGTAGTTGCCCGGAAGTACAGGGAATCTTAGATTCCCGCGGTGTCAGCACCGCCTGGCGGTGACTACCAGACAATTTGCCCCGTGTTATTCGCTTTGAGGGCTGCTTTGTTGGCGCGCTTGGTCCGATCATTGGCCACTTTTGCAGCATTATGTGGGTTGACCAATGACAAGGTTGCAACAGAGCGATGCTGGTAGGCTGCGGTGCGAGGATTTCTGGCCCATTGCTTGCACCTGTGGTCCTGTGGCCCGTTTTGTCTAAGTCGTGTTGGCAAGCACTGATGCATCCACGCGGCCCAGCCGTGCTACCTGCCATCCAGGCTCCCATCCCATTCTGCTCCATGCTTTCCTTCCATCCGCTTGGGGTTTCATCGTGTTCCTGCCTAGTGTTATCTTATTTTAAGTTCAATATCAGCATTTACAAAAAGGGAACACTGATGCACCAGACTTTTTTTGAAAGTAACACTGAATTTTCAGGCTTTTTTGGGGGGGACACTGACGATCAGGGATTCTACACAGAGGGACCCTGATGCATTAACGTGCCTAAAAGTGAATCATAGGCCCTGGTCAGGGGCGTCCAGTGCCGCCTCCGCAAGATCCGCACGCAGCCCTAGCGGCTGTGACACCAACAACGCGATGCGCCTGGCCGCCAGTCCACACGATGAGCATGAGTCACTCAAATGGTGTTGAGGCCATCCCAGTAAGATTACCTTCTTGAAAACAAACTGGTACTGGTCATGTAACGTTCTTGTTAGAATCTAGAGTGACTTAGGCTTAGGAGCCATGGCTTGAGTGGGTGAAGCTAGGCATGGAGTGTCGAGAGAAAAGTCGAGAAGGAGGAGAATGAGGAATGATTTCACTATGGAAAGTTGGGATACAAATAGCAAACCCTAAATTGGGTTGTACTCACTACAGAGTACCCCACTGCAGGCTAGACAGCAAATACATTCTAACACACCCCCATAGTCAAAGTGGGGTATAATCAGCAGAGCAAGCAGTCATAGAGCAGGTTCACCAGTACAAGCAAAGCTAGAGGCATTCACAAAGGGCAAGTGACGAGGAGGAGGAGGATGGACTGTGAGAGGAGAGGAGATAGGAGGCGACGGCTGATGCTGCAGACACACGGGCAACAGGAGCGGCGCGCACGGTGGCTACCGGAGCAAGGGCCCCGGACTACAGGAGTAACTGCCTCTGCGGCTAACTCTGAGCGGCAGGAGCAACGGACCCACGGGCGACAGGCGCAGCAGGCTCTCTGAGCTACCAGCAGCAGAGCCCCGGACTACAGGTGCTGCGGACGACAAGACGGCAGCCTCCGCTCAACCTCCCCCAACTGTCCCACCCCCCTTTCACACACCCCTTGCTGCACCCCTAGCTCCACTCCCACGTCACCCCCCTAGCACCACTCCCTCGGCTCCCACACACCCACCCCCCTCAGCGGCAGCTGCACCAGTGGGAGACGGAGGAGGAGGAGGAGCAGGGGACGGTTCACACACCCGCCACCCCCATACCCTCCCCCCACTGCTGCACCTGCAGCAGGGGATGGAGGATAAGAGAGGGGGGGGGGGGGGGGGGGGGGGGAGCTGGTGCTGCAGATCCCCTCCCCCCACTGCTGCACCCGCAGCAGGGGGAGGTAGGAGAAGGGAGGGAGGGGGGGGGGGGGGGGGGCTGGTGCTGCAGATCCCCTCCCCCCCACTGCTGCTCCACTATCCGTCACCCCCCAGGGATGAAGGAGAAGGTGGGGGACGGGGGGGGGGGGGGTGGTGCTGCAGATCCCCTCCCCCCCACTGCTGCACCCGCAGCAGGGGGAGGTAGGAGAAGGGGGGGACAGGGGGGGCTGGTGCTGCAGATCCCCTCCCCCCACTGCTGCTCCAAAATCCTTCACCCCCCAGGGATGGAGGAGAAAGGGGGGGCGGGGGGGGCTGGTGCTGCAGATCCCCTCCTGCCTCCCCCTGAACTTCCAAGCTCCCCCCCCTCTCCCAACACAAGGTGCGGCAGGGAGAGAGAGAGGAGGAGGCGTGGCGGCAGTTGCTGCTGCTGAGGCACATCCACCACCCCCTCACACCCTCTCCCCCCCATCCCCATGGAGGGGGGGGAGGGGGGGGAGGGGGGGGGGCGGAGCTGCGCGTGCGACTGCAGGGCACGCGGGCAGGAAGAACCCCCTCTTGCCACCCCCTTACCCTTCATGATGCGACAGGGCACCGGGGCCGCGGCTAGGGGCGACGGGTTGCGAGGGGCCGAGGCTAGAGGCGACGGGGCCGCGGTTAGGGGCTGCAGGTCGCGAGGGGCCATAGTGACGGGCGACGAGGCCAGTGGGGCCAAGGGGCGCGGCTAGGTACGGGGCCAGGCGCTGGGTTAGGGGCGGGGCCAGGCGTTGGGCGCGGAACGGGGCCAGGCGCGAGGCTAGGTACGGGGCCGGGCGCGGGCTAGGTACTGGGCCGGGCGTGGGCTAGGTACGGGGCCAGGCGCGGGCTAGGTACAGGGCCGGGCGCGGGCTAGGTACGGGGCCGTGCGCGGGTCTAGGTACGTGGCCGGGCGTGGGCAGGTACGGGGCTGGGCGCGGGCTAGAAACTGGGCTGGGCGCGGGCTAGGTACAGGGCCGGGTGCGGGCTAGGTACGGGGCCGTGCGCGGGTCTAGGTACGTGGCCGGGCGCGGGCTAGGTACGGGGCCGGGCGCTGGGCTAGGTACGGGGCCGGGCGATGGGCGCGGAACGGGGCCGGGTGCTGGGCAGGTACAGGGCCGGGCGCTGGGCAGGTACGGGGCCGGGCGCTGGGCAGGTACGGGGCCGGGGCGCGGGCTAAGTACGGGGCCGGGCGCGGGCGTGATACGGGCCGGGCGCCGGCTAGGTACGGGGCCAGGTGCGGGCGACAGACGGGGCCGGGCGCAGGCTAGGTACGGGCCGGTCGCGGGCTAGGTACGGGCCTGGCGCGGGGCGACGGGGTCGACGGGGCCAACGGGGCCGAGTGGCACAGCTAGGGGCGACGGGGCCAAGAGGCCGAGCCTAGGGGCTAGGGGCGACGCCAAGGGGCGACAGGCCGGGGCCTAGGCTAGCAGGGCATTAGGTGGTGGGCCCATTAATGTGAGGTCCTGGGAACGACCTACTCTGATAGCATGTTAGAATCTAGAGTGACTTAGGCTTAGGAGCCATGGCTTGAGTGGGTGAAGCTAGGCATGGAGTGTCGAGAGAAAAGTCGAGAAGGAGGAGAATGAGGAATGATTTCACTATGGAAAGTTGGGATACAAATAGCAAACCCTAAATTGGGTTGTACTCACTACAGAGTACCCCACTGCAGGCTAGACAGCAAATACATTCTGTCAGTTCTAACAGACCTGCCCGTACCAGGAGCTTTATAGCAAATGGTTGCTCTTCACAGGGGAAACCCCAGAACTGACATGACAACCGAAGTCGGTTTTGTTTGGTGGAAGCGGACTGAACTGCACCGATTGGGCGAAACTGGCAAAAGCTCGTTGCTCAAGATAACTTGTCGCTGAGTGGACAATTGACCTGTTATTGGCCGCCTCACGTAAAATGTTGAAACGATTATGATGTTACAAAAAACAAATCTTTCACAAATAAATGTGAATACTATGATAGAATGCTAGAAGCAGTGCGAACACATTGTTTGCCAAGCATAACCACAACAACTTATGCCGACAAAGGTGAAGATGACATATTTTAGAAAGCCGGTTGCTCTTACGTGCCCATTCTATTGTCCATGCATGAATATCGTTCTCTTTTCCGACTAAACTATACAAACTAGTACCGTATGATATGATGTGATTGCAACTGTAGATCCTCCACTTGCCAAAAGGCATGAATCGATGTGCCCTTTGTTCTTTGTTTTCTTTTGCTGTTCTCCAGTCGAAGGAATATACGGTATGGTAGTTAGAACATCGCTTATTATGCGCATGAGAAAGGCAAAGCATGTACACATGGACAGCGGCTACAGGCGCTGTAGAAAACATTGGCACCAACACATAACCTAGGCTTCCGATTCTCTAATCCCAGAACCCAGCCCATAACCAAACCCGCGACCTAACCTTAAACCCAACACTACCAACCAACACCACATAACCAAGGCAGTGGCTACAAATACCTGTACAGCCTCCACTCCCCAGTTTGTTTCAACCAGTGAGGTTTGGGGGAGTGGAGGGGTCAGGGCAGAAGTCAAACGGCATCCATGCATCTCCCTCCTCTCCTGCCGCTGCCGCTGCTGCCACTGCTGCTTCTGCTGCTGCATCCCACCATGCAGTCTGCATTATTGCCTCGTCCCCTCCCTGCCACGCTGCCTCAGCTGCCCTCGCATCATCACCACCTCCATGCCCCTCGTCTCCTGCTTGCCCTAGCACCATGCACATGTCCTCATCTCGATGCCTCTCCATGCTCCCCTGCTCCATCGCCCCTGCTCTGCCCTCACAAGTCACAACACCACCTGCCACACCTCCACCTTCTACTGCAGGTCTGTGTGCCTTCGCATCCTTCTCATCCACAATTTTCCCCATCTTATTCAACACATCATCCTTAGGACCGGCTGCCACAGCACCGGCCGCTGCCCTCTGCATGCCTGCACGCTCTGTCACACCACCCGGTGCTGTTGGTGCTGCCGCCACGCCTGCAGCCACGCCGGCAGACCCACCAGTGCCCGTCCGTTTCCCCATCTTGCTTCTTGCAGCGCTGTGAGAGTGCATGGTGGGTGGTACCACTGGGAGGCTTTCCTTCCACCACGACGGGAGGGAGCCGGGGACAACGTGAGCGGCAGGGCCGGTGGCATCGAGATCGTCAGCACCATCAGTAGTACCACCACCAGCGGTAGCCGTAGCAGCAGCAGCAAGGGAAGAGGGGTAGTGGGGGAGCATTCCTTGCAGCATCATTTGATTCTGCATTCCCATGCCTTGGCGCATTCCCATGCCTTGGCGCATCCCCATGCCTTGGCGCATCCCCATGCCTTGGGGCAACACCATTGCCTGACTCGGTAGCATGCTTTGTGGCAGCATAACCATGCCATGCTGTGCTATCATGCCTTGTTGCCCCATCATGCCCTGTTGCCCCATCATGCCCTGTTGCCCCATCATGCCCTGTTGCCCCACCATGCCTTGACTCCGCAGCATGGCTTGGTTCATCAGCATGGCTTGCTGCGGCAGCATGCCCCCGCCCACCATGCTCTGGTTCGGCAGCATGCTCTGGTTCGGCAGAATGTTCTGGTTCGGCAGCATTGTTTGGTCCGGGTGCATGGTGTGGCTCTGCGCCAAGGCTGTCTGGGGAACCATGATCTGCTGGTAGACAGGGATGGGGCTGGGGGAGGAGGAGAAGAAGAGAGCACGTGGCACCGTCCTTGCTGCAGCTGCAGTGGCAGGGGAAGGCCCGCTGTGGAAGGGTGCTGGGAAACAGCTGCCGCTTCTGGGGCCTCTGGGGCTGCTGCTGCTGTTGGTGTTGGTGTTGGTTGTTGTTGTGGCGAAAAGCATTGCCTGCTGCTGCTGCTGAGCTTGTAACCGCTGCAACTGGTGCTGCTGCTGCTGAGCTTGTAACTCCTGCAACTGGTGCTGCTGCTGCAAATGCTGCTGCTGTAAACGCTGTTGCTGTAAATGCTGCAGGTGCAGCTGCTGCTGCTGCAACTGGTGTTCCTGTAACTGCTGTTGGTGCCAGTGCTTCTGCTGCTGTTGCATCTCCAGGTGAGAGAGAGGCGAGTGGAGGGGAAGAGAGGAGGGCAGGAGGGAGTGGCGTTGGTGAGGGGAGGTGGATAATGAAGCCTGGCTGGGGAAGCGGTGGAGTGAGGGCGAGTGGGAGTGGGAGAGGGAGCGTGAGTGGGAGAGCGAGCGAGAGTGGGAGAGCGAGTATGAGTGAGAGAGCGAGTGTGAGTGGGAGAGCGAGTGTGAGTGGGAGAGCGAGTGTGAGAGGGATAGTGAGTGAGGGAGTGAGTGAGGGAGCGAGGAAGACTCGAGTGTGGGAGAGGATGCAATCCGGGTAAAGTGCAAGTCTCCTTCAACCTGTGAAGCAGACACGGCAACAGCTGAAGGCATAGTAGCAGCTGTAGCAGCAGACGCAGAATTAGCAGCAGCAGCGGATGCATCATTTGTAATGGTCGTAGCAGCAGCAGCGGCAGCAGAAGATGCAGCGTTTGCAGCAGTCGCAGCAGCAGCTGCAGCAGCTGCTGCTGCATTTCCAACTGCCCCTGCTGCCGCTTGGAGTGCATGACTCATTTTCCGGGCAGCTGAGAAAGTTTCCATGGAAGGTGGCGATTGGCTGAGGGTGTCAAACAGTCGAGTGGTCAGCTCATTTTGAACCGAGGAGGAAACAGGAAGGGCAGGAGCAGAGGACAAAGATGGGAGCTGAGACGATAGGTTGGTCTTGGCTGTTTCAACGGGGGTGTGAAGCGGTTGAGAGTGGTGAGACTGCCGAAAGCACTGTGACTGATGTGGACCATTGCCGCTGTTGATTTGGAGCTTGTCCAGGTTCGTTGCTGCTTTGATTGCTTGCTCCTCCTCCTGTCGCTGCTGCTCTTGTTGTTGCTGCTCTTGCTGCAGGTTTGCGACTGATGTCGCATCTTTTCCCCGCAGTGCTGCACAGCTCTCAGGTGCCCCGCCAGGTGAATGCTCAGGTGAGTTTGGGTCAGAGCTTGCCGAGGTGGTGGCAGCAGAAGCAGCACCAGCACCAGGAGCACGAGCAGCAGCAGCGGGTGAAGTGGCAGCAGCAGCAGCATCAGCACCACCAGAAGCAGCGGCGGCAATGACAGCGGCAGCAGCGGGCGGGGGCACAGGGAGGCGGAAGAAATCGGCCATTCGGCGAATGAAGGCCGGGTCGTGTGAATGCGGTGAACCAGAGAACGATGGGGAGTGTGGCGCAATTTTTCTCCTGTTCAGGGGGGGGGCGAGGACACACACCGAGGGAAAGACACGGGGGCATGTGAGTGCGATGAGCCGGTGAACGATGGGGAGTGCGGAACCACTTTCATGAGGAGAAGGTATCAGATGTGAGATACGAGACGTGTCATCAGGCATACCTCGCAGCTGTCTTGAAGCGTACCTGGCAGCGGTCTTGAAGGACGTGGACGCATGTGGGCGCAGCCCTTCTCGTATGGCGCGTTCCACCGCCCATGCATGCGCGCCCACTCCCCCTGCATGCGCGCCGCCTCTCCCCATACTCCCGGCGCCATGCACCGCCATGGCTGCACTGCCCCTGCCGCCCATCCACATGCCACGTGCTGCTGCCTGTGCTCCTTCCATGCCCTGCTGTGTGCTCTGCAAGCCTGCCATGCCATCCGGGCCCATCATACCCATCCCTGCTGCACCCATCCCCCCGTCTATCATCCTCCCATCCATCATCCCCCCATGCATCATCCCTCCCTCCATCATCGCTCCACCCACCATCGCTTCACCATGCGTCATACCACCACCAGCATGATAAGCTTCCCACATAGCATCCACCATCGCCCCATCCATCATCCCGCCATTCACCATCCCCCCATGCGCCATCCCCCCATGCGCCAAACCCCCCTCATTCTCCTCCCACTTGCCCCCTGCAGTAAGCGCCAGCCCACGCAGCTCCTCCTCTTCCACCGCCTCAGGTGCTTTACTAAAAGCCGCGCTTAGCCCAGCCCGCACTGCGGATCCGCCAGCACCACCAACAGGCTCGGCAGTAGGTCCAGGATCCGAACCTGCAGGGACAGGCAATCCCCGAGGCTGCCCAGCCGACACAGCAGCAACGGAAGAAGCACCAGCACCAGCAGAAGCAGCAGCAGCAGCAACAGCAGGGCCGGTTTGCGGTGAGCTGGTAACCAGGTAACCGCGAGGGTTATGCAGGTGAACGAAGGACTGATGGCTGATACTAATCGCAGCAGGGGAAGACAAGGCGGTGGCGGTGGTGGCGGTGGTGCCATGGGGCGACGTGGGGGAGAGAATGGACAGCTCAGATTGGCTGTGCGCTGATCGGAGGGCTGGGGTGAGTCCTTGAGATAGCGGTTCGGTGAGGCCGTGATAGACTGGCGCGCCCTCCTGGTCTAAGTAGCGCCTGGAAGAGGCATGAAGGGGAAGGGGGGACGAGAGGGGAGGGGGGGAGGGAGGGGGGGAAGGATTGGGGGAGGGAAGGGAAAATGAGCGAACGAGAGAGGGTGAGAGGGTGAGAGATTGAGGGGTGGAAGAGTTGAGAGCAGACGGATGATGCTGAAGCGGGCACGTGTGAGAGAAAGCGCAATCATGGGGCTGGAAGTACGCTGCCCAGAAACGAATCACTTCTAAAGGAGGGTGAGTGTGTGAGTACTTTTTAAGGAGGATGAAGCGGTTGCAGCAGGCCTTGTTGTCGCGGTGCGGCAGCCGCCCGGACGCCTTGAGCACGCCCCAGTGCCGCGTGCCGTAGCTGCGCACGTGATCCAATAAGATCAGATCCTCCTGCGCGGTGAAAGTCGCGGGGGAAGGGGAAGAGGTGGGAGGATAGTGTGGTTTGATGGTGCGCGGATAACGCTGAGGGACTCGCGACATTCCTTCACCACAAAGGAGTGCGGTATTGCCGCACGCGCAGCATTGGGGGCGGCAGTGCCGCGCGCGAGGCAATGAGGCGGCATGACCTCCCGCGCAGGAATAGGACGGCAATACTGCATGCGGGGCAGCGGGGCGGTAACAAAGATTTACCTCGGGCGACCACCAGCGGGAGTAACTCCCCGTCGCCCCGGCCTCCGCGCCGATCGCGCTGTCCCCCGTCGGCTCGCGCGCCCCTTGAGGCGTCGCCGCTTCCGCCGATCGCGGCAATGGCGACGGTTTGAAGGCTGCGCCCCCCGCCGCCACCGCCGCAAGCGCCGCTGCTGCGTCGGCGCGGTCGTCGCGCGCTGCTCGACCGCCAAAAGCCGCCGTCGTCACCGCATTTCCCGCCGACATTGTCGCAACAAAGTCGCCAGTACCGAAGCGGGTCGCAGTGATCATCGCATCGCCCCGCCACTCGACTATCCGTCAGCCGTATTTGCTCGATGGAATCGTCGTCGCTGTCGCCGTCACCGCCGGGTCGCCGTTGCTGTCGCGACGCCGTCACGTTCGCTGAAACCGTCGCCGTCGCTTTCGTCGTCGCAGACGCCGTCGCTGCGACAGAGAACGAGTTCTTCGAGAGACGCTTCGAGAATGCTTTGAAGTCGGCGACTTGAACGAACGACAAGTCCAATCCCGCGTCCCAGGCGAGGGAACGCGCCTCGGGCCTGCCTCTCAAAGACCTCCTTCAACCGAACCAACGGTCACCGCAGTGGACGGTCGACTCGAATCAACGGTCGGACTCTTTTGGTCAGCTGAGCCGACGCGAAGGCTGTCGCTACGTAAGGAGGCGAGACGACTCTGATGATCGTATGGATCGTGCACGATGGCACACAGTCGGGCTGTCGCGCGTGGTGCTACTAATAATTCGCGGCTTGGGGCTTGCGGTGAGGATCGGAGGGAGATGCACGAAGCGAGGCGGCTCAAATCGCAATGTCTTTCAAAATGTTGGCGGGGGACAGTAAGAATCTTAGGACGTGCGCTGCGGTGCCGCAGAACCGTGGATTGCGGCGCGGCTTAGAATTGCGACACGGGTCGGGCGTGCTCATCCACGATTATCGTCGTCGTCGTCTCACTCGCCGAGCGAGACAGCACGCGGTGATTTGAGTCGCCAGCTGAATTCAGCACTCGTAATTGACTTGCGAATCGACAGGGCACGCGGGTCGCCGATGCTCAACAGCTACGACGGGCAATGTGGGTAGCGGTAAGTCTGCGGAAATGAAGAGGTGCTGGTTCTTACACGGCGAATACGAATCGCAGTAGCGACTGGCTTTCCGTTATGTTTCGGGCCCAGGCGAAAGGTAATCGTATGACAGAAGGCGTCGTATGACATCTGGAGACCACAGAGTTTTCGACTGGTGGCGTCTGAAAATGCTCCGTTTCAATTTACACAGTAATGTGGTGAAGAATGTATGTGCACAGCTGGGATGGTCTTGTGGGGAAATGCACAGAGCAGAGCAGAACAGAGCAGGAAAGTAGATAAGGCAGAAGTGGTGCAGTGCAGCGCTAGAGGCAGATTGCTGGCCCGCGATTGGCAAGTTGTGTGGGACTGTGTGGCGTCGAATCGTGGATGTGCAAAATGCAAAAGCTCAAATGTTGGGGGCCGAATGGAAGTGCAGGGCCGAGCTTCGGGGGGGATGAATGGAGAGAATTGGAGGACGGGCCGTGGCGCGTGTGGGATGAATGGGATGGAGGAAGGAAGGCAGGGAAGAATTGGTGTATGGGAAAAATCTGTGGCTGAGCTGGACGAGAGCTTCTTTCAAAAGACTGGTTTGCTTTGGCCCAGCGATTTTCGAGAAAGTGCAGCGCAGTCAAGAGGGCGCTCGAAATGTGACAATTCTCACAGCTGTGATGTATGCAGGCTTGTTGTTGGAGAGGGTGGATGGAATGGAGGGGGGAAGGGTGGGCAGTGGGATTTCAGAGAAATAGCCTGAGGATTTCTTTGGAGGAAGCATTGGCCATTGTTTAGTGCTGATGCTCCCGGGCAGTATAAGAGTTTCTGGAAAAGGACACACAAGAGGGATTTGATAGCGACGAATGCGGTGAAACTATCTTCCACACCAACGGCGAAGAACCGTCGGATAGGCAAACCAGGTTCTAGAAAATCTCGCGCGATCATCTTCGTGACAACGCTGCAGTTGCGTGAGGACAAAGATCGGTGTGATTTTGATGAGTTGGATGCACAAAGGAATCGTTTCCTCGCTGGCATGTATGAGATCTGGGCAAGTTGTACACACTAAAATGTGAGGACGCGATACGGTTCGCCTCTGATTTCCCCGATCGCAGTCGATCAATAACTTCTAGGAAGCTAGGGCGGCGATTTCAGGCAATCTGGGGCAGTCACCTGATCGCGATCAGCTGATCGCCCCAACTCGATCAGCCGCCTAAATCAGCCCAAACAAACACAACCCCACACAATCACCGACGATCAGTTGATTGCATTGGCTTGGGGTACCAAATGACGCCAGCGAGAAGTTTGGGTGTTCTGCTGGGTTTCGTGAAGCTCTCGCTCAAATAACTAACCTGGCGAGAACTTTCGAGACCATCCTCTGCAGTGTTTCGAGGCATCTGTTCACGCAAAGTTACAGAGAAACAATAAAGTTCGTTAGATCTAGGCTGAGGACTTCGTCCTCGCCAAAGTGGGAGCGAAAGTGTTTGGAAAGGGTGACACGCTTGCCATGCACCCTCGTAAAACATTCGAGGAATTTCTCATCTGATCGGGCGGCGCGAGCGCAGTAATCGGGGGCACCCCGATCAGATCAGCCCTGACAAGGTCACAGCCGATCCGAGGCAAACCGTGACACGTCCTCACTGTATCTACAGTACACTGCACCACAGCCCAGTCAAGCAAGGCAAGAAGAAAGTTGGACTCAGCTGGGCACATTCCGATTCCCGAAGGGCTGTGTGGATTGGCAGAAGGGAAACCCATAATGGGAATCCTGTGGCTGGCATGGAATGCTCGTGTGGCTGGCTTGCATGCCACAACAAATTGGGCCAAGATGACCCGAGGTGGAAGAAGAATATTCGTCTCGTCCGGCCTGTTAGCGAAATCCTAAAACGTTTTAGACTGATTTGTCTTTCCAAATCACGTTTTCCATAATCATCTCTAATCTACAATGGACTGTAGTATTACGAAGGTTGTTCCTTGAGCTGGATGCAGGGCGAATTCTGTGCTCATTTCAGCCCAGCTGAAGAAAATCACTAGGAAACCCCAAACACAGAATTTCCTCTTGCTACTCGCATAGACGCGTCCATATTCTTGAGCAATCCTGCGAGGCCAAATGGCAGCCTTCGATTAGTTCCATATGAATAGCAAATGTGGCAGGGTAATTACCTTCTGGGTAACCAACATCGAGCCCGCTGACGTACGCAGTCCGCCACGTGGCTCGATGGTACCCATCAGATTATCCGATCTCCCCTGTGGTACCCGTCATTTCCCCGGTGGTACACATTATCCCTCCGTGGTACCTATCAACTCTCCACAGATTTCCCAATCCTTACAGGTATGTCCTCGACCAATCATAAGTAAACGTAGTCACTGTTATATGCCTGATTTCACGTGTAAACCAGTGTGACGCTTCAAAAGGCCTGCATGGCGCAGCCATGAATGCGCCATGCATTGACACGGAGCAGAATAGTGTCTGCGCCATGCATTGGCATGGCGCTACATAATTTGCTGCGCCATGCATTGGATTGCATAAGGCAGCCGCGATTGCGCCATGCATTGGCATGGCGCTTCACACGGGCTGCGCCATGCAGCCATTGCATGGCGCAGAACAATGGCTGCGCCATGCAGCCATTGCATGGCGCAGCGTCGAATGCGCCATGCAGCCAATGCATGGCGCAGCCTCGATTGCGCCATGCATTGGCATGGCGCAGAATAATGGCTGCGCCATGCAGCCAATGCATGGCGCAGCCTCGATTGCGCCATGCATTGGCATGGCGCAGAATAATGGCTGCGCCATGCAGCCAATGCATGGCGCAGCCTCGATTGCGCCATGCATTGGCATGGCGCAGAATAATGGCTGCGCCATGCAGCCATTGCATGGCGCAGCGTCGATTGCGCCATGCAGCCAATGCATGGCGCAGCCTCGATTGCGCCATGCATTGGCATGGCGCAGAATAATGGCTGCGCCATGCAGCCAATGCATGGCGCAGCCTCGATTGCGCCATGCATTGGCATGGCGCAGAATAATGGCTGCGCCATGCAGCCATTGCATGGCGCAGCGTCGAATGCGCCATGCAGCCAATGCATGGCGCAGCCTCGATTGCGCCATGCATTGGCATGGCGCAGAATAATGGCTGCGCCATGCAGCCATTGCATGGCGCAGCGTCGAATGCGCCATGCAGCCAATGCATGGCGCAGCCTCGATTGCGCCATGCATTGGCTGCATGGCCGCAGGGCGCTTGATAAGGGCTGCGCCATGCAGCCCATGCATGGTGCAGCCACGATTGTGCCATGCATTGGCATGGCGCTTCACACGGGCTGCGCCATGCAGCCAATGCATCAACTGTTTCTTCTATTTGTTCCTTTTACTTGGTGCAATCATGTACTTAGATCTCAACCATATATTCTCTTTGTTTCCATGTACTATCCTGACAGTGTGTTATTGCAGAATGAGGGTGAGGTCAACCTTTCAAAGGGACGTGTTTTTCGCAACGTCGTGGAGGCGCGTAAGGATATTCGAAAGTATGCCCGACAGCAAAGGTTCGAACCTTTTTTTCGTTATAATAGAGCTACTTGTGTGGATGTGCGTTGTTGGGCTATGAAGGGAGTTTCATGGCCTGCTCAAGGTGTGGCAGCTCCTGAGGGGTTTTGTCCTTTTCGTATTTATGCGCGGGGGCCTAGGAAGGGGATGATGGAGATTAGGGAGGTTCATCTTGAGCATGCGGATCTTTGTGCCGTGTGTCCTGCAAGGATCACCATAGAAGAGGTCAAAGACATTGCTCGTGTATTTGTCACG